AGAGTCAATAGCTGAACATCCTGTCTGGGCTCTATGTTAATACGTTTTTTCTCTTGACATATTTTTTAATAAAATAATGTTATACGTAAGCTTAAAATTTTTCCTTCTTTTTAAATTGCACGTTCTTTGAAAAATTACTATTTCCAAATACACGTTTCCCAAAATTTCATTAAAATGGAATCCAAACAAGGGTAATAAATTTGGAAATGTGTACCTTTGATGAACTATAAAGGTTGAACTCCAACCTTAAGGGCCCCCATTGATCCTGTCCTGAGCCATCGTGGAGGAGGTAAATCGCAGGATGTGCCTCTCAGGAGCCAGGGTGGAGAGCATATGGATAGGCCAAGGCTGTTAACCCATATGGTAACTCTCGCTTGCAACAAAGTCAATTCCACCTTGCGGGGAATCGAACTCTGCACACTGCCGCGCTGAGTCCTATCCGCCCTTCCCTTTGTCACTGGGAGATATGCCCTGGGGGCACCTTTTGATGAACTATAGTTATACATTAACTGGAGTGGGTGTTGTGAGGGGTTTTCTAAAGCCCAAAAGTGCTTCTAGAGGACAAAAGCTTTTAGGTACAATTATGGATGGTTAAAGTCAATAATTGACAAAAAGGGACAACCTTTTAAGATGTCTTAGATAAGTTCAAATTGGAACTACTTAAAAAAAAATCATCTTTATGAGAAGTAGAAATTTGCACTTAATGTAATTTTTAAGTTTTCTGATTGATTGGCGTGCAAATTATAGTGTTTCCATTGTTTGCTTTCCACGAGAATTGGTAGTACTTGGTTTTGGTCTTGATCTTGTTTCCGTGAAAATAAGTTGGAGTGAGATAAGAAAGGGATCGGCGCGTCGACCATATTGTAGATAGATTTTTGTTCTTTTTCATTTTTCATTTTTCCTTTCTTCCTTTTTCTCCAATCTCCTTACTAACTGTACTTTCGCAATATTAATTATGACAAAAAGATCTTCCATTATGAATTAACCTGGAGCAATCAAGCTCAAAGAGCACTATTGGACAGAACTTCTGTAACTAGTTCATTAATGATCCACAATCATGCTACACATCCAGGTTCAAATTCAGATGGCACATGTGTCGACGCATGATTGGACAGTTTAAAAAATTAAAAAAAATACCCAATCATTTTCTGACACATTTGTTTATCTCTTGACTCCCTATTTTTCAACCTGGCTAAGTGATTTTATTCATAATACAATGTGAATAAGAAGAGACAGACAAACTGCTAAATGCTTAGCAAGAAAGCAATACCCTCCTAATTTGTGAAATTTAAATATTCCTTTTAAATTGCTTATGACATATTTTTATTTAATTTTTTAATCATTATTTAACATTTTAAATTGTTTCTAACTCTACTTTTTGTATGAAGTGACAATTATGTCCTTTGTTTTCAAAAACATATAATAGAAATAACATAGCAATTACATTTTAAATAATACGACACATATTAAAATAATTGTGGCATGATATTAATTAAAATATAATGTTTAGTCAATAAGAAAATATTTTACACTTATTTTTACACTTATCTTGTCAAACAGTTAATTTAAACCTCGGAAGATTACAACTATTTAGTTTATAAACAGATAGTAATGAATGTACAAGTGAATATAACTTATATGTCTATTCGAATGTGTGATTAAAAATGAAATTTGACCAAATCATAAATAATTTATAAATTTGCCAAATCGATGTTGACAACACCTTTTGACGGTCAACAACATTTCAAAATTTAAGCAAAATTACAAATATAAAATTATCTGAAGAAAAATCATCTGATCAAATAATCTTTAAGTCCCCCTTGTTCCCCATTACATCTCATTAAATTAAATTAAAATTTTATCTCTTATTTTCAACCACACAATCTATAATAAAATAATATTACACGTAAATCGAAAACTTTTCATTCTCTTTCCTGTGAAGACAGCACTTCTCCATCAACATCAAAAGATTCAAAACACTTAATATTTTTATATAATTGTATATTAGAATAAAAATAAAAATAAGTCGGTCTCGTAACAATTTACATCAGCAGAAAACCATATAATTTAATTAATTAAAAAAAAAAAAGGTAATAACCCCAGTTTAAGGAAATAGCTCCTTCACTATATCCAGCACAACTACAGAGCTCACAATTGGAAACTGGAAGGATAGTGCTGCATTTGGGAACATAGTTACAAGAGCTGCTTACAGTTTTCCATCATTTAGTCCCATCATATAAGAGGTGAATGCAAAGATAATCTTGACAAAGAAATGAATAACAAAATCTTAATTGTCTATAGCAATAATTTGGTAGAGATCAACCATAATCACACCATATAATTTTCATTAGTTCTCACTTCCACTGAAAAGCTTTTTCCAGGCTCTACGATTCTAAATACCAAGCGAAAAGTGCTCCACATGGTATCATCTCTATATAATCACAGCGGCAGCAGTAACTACAAGCACAACAAACTCAAAGAAGTTCAAGCAAACAGAACCTGTGCGCTCGACGGTGTTAAGTCAAAGAGGTTTTCGGGCGCATCCACAACTTGCCATTGAACAGAAAATCTGCACCTTTTTCTAGATGAGCCTTGTGAGCAAAGGCTTGAGATATGGCCCACGGCAAGGTGAAGGTGCCGGCCTACCACATATATATTGTTATCCCAGCAGTCGACACAGAAAGGCTTGCATATCTGCTCTGGCAAAGGAGGTCCTTCAACAGTAGACCAAGAATCAGTTTCAGAGTCATAAACCTTCAGTTTTGTTCTTTCATGTTCTGTAACCACAAACAAATGCCCATAAATCACAACGCTCGAACCAGTCCAGCCTTCTCGCAGTCCAGTAGCCATATTCTCCCAATTATCTGTTATCGGGTCATAAACCTGTCCCCTGGGTACAACATAGAAGGGCCAAAACCAACCTTCTGTCACAAGAAGCTTCCCATTAAGAACTGCTGCATCATATAAGGCCATGTTTGTTCCCATGTTTGCAACCGAACGCCAGGTTCCTTTATTAGGATCAAGGACTTCAGATGAGTTAAGCTCGAACATATCAGTGCTGTTCCCACCAGCCACATATACCAGCCCATCAATTATCCCACTTGCAAAAAATGACCGTGCAGTGATCATCTTTGACATGACGGTCCATCGGTTCTTACACACTTCATACTTTAATACTAGATTGAGAGGGCAATCCACATCAGAGGCTACACCACCACAAACAAAGAGAACACCCTGATGAGGGATGGCCGCGCACCTGAATCCCTGGGGGCAGACCTTATCCTTGCAAGGCATAGCCGGAATTGTGTGCCAAGAGAATTGG